GAGCATAATACTCTTATTTGAGGAGAACTACTATTATGTATGGAAGGATGTACCATGATGAGTAGAACTATCCCAGGAGTAATATTATGTGAAGTGTTCCGATATAAGTTTAGCGGCTCTATTACATAAAGTACATGATTGTGCAAATCCTTTGGATTGCTTAGAGTACTATTCTTTGAAGAATATTGCTACACCCAGAGTACTATGATGTTAAGAGTACCTTTGTGTGTGCAATATTGGCATTCCAGGACTGGTATTATTAGTGGAGCACTATTCTGTGAAGTGGATGGATATTCCAGGAAAACTACTGCCTGAAAAGTACTTATGTGTATGCATTCTCAATGAGGAAAATTGCGGAAGTTCCCGTAGTACTGTTATATGAATGTACTAATGGATGAACTATAGTCATATTTGCAAAGTACTGTCGTCCCTGGAATATCACTGGTGTTGATAACATTAATGTTACCAGGATAGCTTTGATCGCGGAATACGAACATCCATAACATACATACCCCTTATAATTTTAAGAAGAAAAAAAGAAAAAAATGAACTAGAACAAATGCCCAGAATGAAGCTTATACATTGAACATACCGCGACATTAGGCACAGTTCTCCATTTCTAAAGAGAAATGAATATATAAGATAAAACCATATAAATGACTTAACAGCATCAACAGACATGAACCTGCAGCTGAAAGGAAACATCTAACAAACAAGTAGAACCATATAACCAGAAAGGACGAAGGTAACTTAACAGATAAAACTACCTAAACCCATGTTGACAGAGAGGGAATCAACCCAGAGAAAGGGGAGGATTGACACGACAAAGAACACTTACACTAATATATGAGGTGGGCTGTTCACAGGGCCCAATACTGCATCAAATAAAACACGAGTTGATTGCCAACTTTCCTGTCTCAGAATACACGCGATTATTCGCACTTAGCGAGAAAGACATATAAGTAGGAAATCTCTTACCTATATTAATTGATGTTCTAAATTTTCTCCTGTTTCTATTGAGCGTTATGGCTTGAATTACAAACTCTACAATTCTATCTCTTGCTCTACGATGTAATATCCTATGATACCCTTTGTGATGTTATACATGAAAATATATAATGTTTTAAAATAGATTTATTTCTTCTTTGAAGTTTCAGAGGCTTCCTTGAGAGCTATTTTGTTTTTGTAAAGATATAACACACTTTCTGATGTAAATCCTGGAGGGGTTAAAACATTCAATGTCTCTACGCTTAGTGTAAAGGTGTCCCTTTTTGTCGTATCTAGAATAGTAATCATAAAATATCTATGTTGACTGCATGGGTCACTACTGGTCAAAGGTCTGACATCAAAGTTGTTTTGTTACCTGTATATTCTCTGTTGCCCCGATATCGAATATGACGATTCCAATTCTTTGGATGGCATTACTCACATGACTTTGATTGTACTTTTTTGTATTCCTTTGGGGATTATCAGCAAAGCAGCTGTGAGAATAATTTCGTAAGTTTGAGAAGTCCTCCACCTTTTTATATATAGCACTCTTTTGGCAATAGGGAGACTCATTAAAAATGAATCCATAAGATCATCCGCGGTTTTACTCATCTAATGTGTGGCTAAATTACGGCGGAGTGTTATATATAATTCCGCAGTTCATGGTTTACCAATCGCGCGTAACCCATTTTGTTAAAGGAAACTGCGGAACAGGAACAAAATTATATATAATTTTGACAGGGACGGCTTTGCCTTAGAATGCAAGAAGCAGAAATTAAGGAATATTCCTAAATAGAATGAAACATAAGGAAGAATATAGACAACAGGAAGCAGGCGGAATGTGGAGGAAAATATAAAGATGCGGAGCCTACCCATAAACCTTGAGTGCCCCGAAAGACGAATACAGGAAGAGAGAAGTGCATCTTCAGACGTGAAACTACATTTAGGAAAGGTGCGAAGATTGGAATGTAAGCTGAATCTATGTTTTTTTAAGGAATTATTGACAAGTGAAATTCGTATTTCACTAAATTTAATCAAAAATCCAAACTATCATACTTTAAATTGAGAGTATTCATCAAAAGCAACAGGGCCTACCCTACAGTATATGTTGAGAGCCGCCAAGATGCGTATAAATCCCAATGTATTGTTCCATTCCGGCAAAGTAGAGTTATTCTTAAGCCATAGAATATGGAATTAGTCATATCCGCGGAAACTTCGAATGTTAAAGATCATAGGTGAGTTGACAAGACTTTTATATTCACGCACATTATTAAGAGCAAAAATGAAAACATTCTGTGGTACCAGTTATGAGTTGTATCAAGTCTTATTCCTGAACAAACCTGTAAAAAATATTGAAGACCCCCGCCCATAGGATAGCAACAGCTAGGTTGGAATACTATGAACTGCTATACTCTATATATCTAACAGCATACCCCAAGAAACTGATTTAGTTATGAACTGGACCAGGTGAAAGATTTCCCCCACGTCCCTTTCTCAAAATTACTATAAGAAACAAACTTGATCCCTTCACGTCCTTATGATTCCGTCAATGCCTCCGAAGGATAATCCCTCCAGAGTGTAATTAATGTGATAAGAATATTCTTCTCTATCACTAAATTCATAGTCCTAAGAAATATATCATCTCCTTAAGGATTAACATATCTATGGATTAAGCTAAAAGATGACTCTGGGCATGTTACGAGGGTATACAATTGTTTTATTTATTTTTTACACGTATTAAGGAATGATTCATTTCCTATTTCATCTCAGCTTTCCATCTTCTTCTGTCATTTTAACTTTAAAAAGTCAGCACGAGAGTATATTACCTGCAGGCATCCTTATTCTTTAGGATTGATTAAAAAGAAGAGGGTCATATGAAAGCGATCCAAGAAGATTTTATCGGCATAGTGAAAAATTGGATTTATTCCGATTATTTGTTTATTCCTTTCTCTCTTTCAGCTAATATTTAAGCACCAAGAATGACGAGAAGGAAGATCTACAATTATACGTCCTTTTCTAGTCCAAAAAATAAGACTCTCGTGATATATTTCCTATGATTCCCAATGTATTAAATAGGGAAATCATTATAGAAGGTCTAATTACTTATTTATCAAAAGATATAAGGGTATATAACTAATATTATGGAATCCCCGATCTATCATAAAAGCCTTAAGCGAATTAAGCTAAGAGAAAGGGGAAGTAATATAATCAACAACCCAAAAGAATAATGTGTCTGACAGCCCCTAAGTATTATATGATATGAATGTACATTAATAATTAGTAGAGTTCTAAAGTTACTAAATAATAGGAAAAGACTGCTTAGTGTTCTATCCTAATCGGGATTAGATTTAAATTAGTCCATAAAACAAACCAAAGGTTCCCCCCAAAACAGGAGCATGTAATTAAGTTACTGAAGGAGTAATTGTGGAATGATGGTGAAATCTAAAGAAGATCTAAAAAGAATCAGTTCCTATACCAGCACTTATAATTTATAGAAAATCGTCTAAGCCAGATGTTTAGTCCTTAACTCTTTTTATTTCCTCGTAATAAGAGCCCGCATATGAGAGGTCATATATACAATTTCCTCAAATGAATCTGATAATCACGTAGGAATAGCACCTTTCTTAACAACTCTATCAAGAGAAGCTCCAACAAAGAAGAAGCTTCCCCAACAAAATATGTTATTAAACCTCGGCTCGTGACGGCAGATTAATATGTCCAATAGGACAAGTGAGAAAACGAACAGATTGTTTAATATATAGGAGATACAGCCAAGTGATAAACAGATTAGAATCAGAAGCACATAAAAAATCGAAACCAGCCTTCTAGGACCAGAATGTTGAGCTGGTGATGAATAGCACAAGACCAAAGCCCTGACAAGCATATCAGGAGCTGATCAGCCATCAAGAGCAGAAAGGATACTGCAACAGGATGATCCCTAAAAGCTCGACGAGCTGCGTATCAGAAATCATAATCAGGGAAACCGGGTTATGACTAGCAAAAAAAGCCCCCCGCCCGTTCTCTCCAGTATATCTCAGAATCATCTAGCTCTGAGACAAATTGGAAAAGAGGAATTCACTGAGAAAAATCCGAACTCCTCGACTCCTTCAGACAGATTGCCGAGTACTACTAAAAAATCGATTACTTTCACGCGGAGTCCGAACCTAACATCTTATAAATTGAAAAAAAGGTAAAATCAAAAGCACCAGAATCTGAAAACAAGAGATCAAGTCGAGACAATACAGAAAGTATCATAACATCCCTGCCCGCCCACGTGCCTCACCTGGCTAAGGACGCAATAGCTTCTCTCTAATGTTGGGTGAAATCTGACACCAAAGATAGGAGCCCTATCTGGATGACTAGTATAGTCCGAATTATCAAGCAACCCAAGGAAAATGGAGCAAAGCGCCGCCGGAGCACGCAGTCGAAACAAAACCAAAGAAACTAACCACAAGGGAAAGAAGGAGCTGACAGCTAAATAAAGTTAAATAAAGAACTTTAAACCAAGACACAGAGATTAAGAAACCTGAATTTCCCCGCCCCACAGAAAATAGGCGGATTCAAGGGTAACATAATACTAATCTAACCGAAAAGAAATCACACTCCCCAGAGGCAAGTGACCATTTAAGGATAAAATGAGGGTAGGTGAAGAATCCCAACAGGCCTCTTCAGAGAGAGGAAGAGAAGCTCCCAAAAAAAAAGACAAAGCTATCCCGACGACCCCCAAGAAAACGTATCAGCCCACTATTAAGTATCCGTTCAGAAAGCAGATCCAAATCTCAGACAAAACTAAAGCAGGAAAGTCAAGTCCCCATCAGAAATAACAACCCAAGGGGAAGCCTAGAAGAGCTGAGAGTAAGAACTAAGGCTGACCCCAACCAGCCAACGACGAAGAACAACAACTGTAAGCCCCAGAGCCGAGAAGGAGGAGCAAAAGAAACGAACAGGTAGACTCTGCTAAAGGGGGAGAGGGAACGATTAGAAGCAAGATTAAGAAGAGGAGTGAATCTAAAATGTCGAACATCAAGGCGGAAGAAACAGGCCACTTAAGTCGGAGTCTTCAGTCCAGGAAATCATCGACAAACCTAGAGTACTTCGTAAGGAAACCTAGGAAGGAGAATAAGTTCCTGAACCCAAAGAGTCACATGAAACCGAAGGGTACACTTCCCGACCCAGGCCGGGATAGAGAACCCCCCCAGAATAAGTACAGGAGTACCAGTGATTTCGGGAAAGATGAGACGAATAAAAAAGTCAACTTGGACAGAGAAACGCAAAAAGGAGGAGTAAGGCAGTAATAAGACCGAGACCGTCCACTTGAAGCAAAAGAGGAAGAAACTCCCCACACATTGAGGAGTGGGGAGGGTGATTATTATTAGGACAAACCCCCAGCCAGGTCCAGGAGTCAAGGGACGACGACTAGTTCACTCAGAACAAAACGCAACTCGTCTAAGCCGAGGAAACGGTTGATAGATGATATAATGTTCGTCTGAAATTTTTGAAGCCACTCATCAAACTCCTCCTCTCTCTAAAGAAAAGAGAGTCTAAGAGGAATAGTACTGACTAGAGGGAGGGAGCAGGAATCTGGTAAGAGAACAGGAGTTCCATCCTCTAGCTGATCTCTCACTTCCGTGACTCAGGAGGATTAAAAATCACTCAAGGATCAGTCAAACTGAAAGACGCCCGCAAGCATCAAAACCCATCAATTCCAGGCCCAAGCAGCCCCTCCTATCGATTCTCGACTCTCGAATAAGGGCAAGAGAGAAACAAGGCATTTCAGGATCAGGTTCAAACATCATTCCAGATGAAGGGGCAAGACGGCCAAACCCAGCACAAAGCCTGAGCAAGGCTAAGGAGTAGAAATCAGACGACCCCCAGAACGGGGAGCCGAAGGAAAAAATTAAGGACCTCAATCGACAAGAAGCGGCAAAAAGCCGAAAGAAGGATTAGACCCCATCGTGTATCACAAGGGCTCCAGATGAGAAGTCAGAAGCCTGAGCGCACAACACGAAGAATTCCGACTCAAAGGGAATATGAAGATCAAAACAGCACCAATAGGACCGGACCTGCAAGAGGGAAACTAAGGAGCTCTTCCAGATGGCCCCCCCCATGGCAGACCCCAAGAGAAGGGCACCACTAGCAGATGGGGGGGCGAGACTGGCGCACCCCCGCCGATGATCCAAAAGGATCAGAAGGAGAGTCAAAAGTAGAGTCTCGAAAAACCAGGGACAGTCTAGGCAACAGGAAGATAGAAGGGAATAGTCCAAGGAGGAAAGGAGCTATCGGACAACCAATCTCCAACTCTAAAGGGGATTATCCGAATCATGAAGAGAAGAAACCTCAGGTAGTCTCTCAAGGGAGCGCCTAAGGCAGAGGAGACAGGGTCAAAGCCGAGGATAAGAAGGAACTCAAAGCCAAATTCGAACAAAGGATGGAGTTTTCACCACTGGCAAACGCCGACGGGGGGTAAGGAAGCCCAGACGCAGACTGAGGTAGTAGCCGAAGAAAGAGTCATTACAGAATATAACAAGAATAGGGAACACAAGAACAGGACAATTCGCCCACAGCAAATGGATGAGTTGTGGGGAAGCTGAAGAGGAGACTACAACCCCGTGAGACGAGGCAGGACAGGTCTGAGAACGAGGGGCCCAATCTCTATATTAAGCAAAAGCAGAGGTATCCCCAAGAGGAGAAGGGGGCTGCAAACCTCTGAAGGATCAAGAGCGAGCAGGAAGAATTAGAGTGTCTAACAGTCCAATCAAGTTCCTGCTGCCCCCCCAGAATACGCGTCCACAGCGCCGTGACCGAAACAGAAGGGACATGGTACCCAATAGGGCTAGCCTCCACCAAGAAACAAGGAAGGGAAGGAGGAGTTTAGGGGGAGGAAGCAACGAACTCTCGATAAACCTAAATGCAATAACGGACGAAGAGCAAAAAAACATGGACCCCACTGAAGCCTGAAGGAGCAACATCCCAAAGGAGTACGCACCAGATAGACACGACAAAGACGATGAAGTACGCCATAACATCCAGAAATATCAACCTCGGCTGACTACGGGCTAATAGACGAGATCAAAGGTAAGTCAACTGGCACCAAAGAAAAAGGAGCGATATGCGTAACTGGGATATGTATCCCCGACTGACCGAAGCACACGATCGCCCTAAGGCCAAAGCCAGTGGAGATAGGGAACTAAGACGGAAGGGAAGACTTCCTGAGAAGAGAACCACCGAAAATCGGGTAACAGAGAAGGTTCCGAGTTTGCGAGTAAGGGACGTGAGTCTTAATTACCCAACTGAAGCCGACTAAGAGGTCAACTGCGTAGAAGGATAAAGCAGGCCGTCACATGGGGCCTCAAGGAGACCGCCCCCAGGGACCAAAAGGGGAGCGGGAGGGTGAAGATGTGACGTCAGATGGAATAAGGGACTGCTAAGGACCCGGCGAAGGAGGATCGACGGAAGAGTGGCCAACAAGAAATTGTGATCGAAGAGGCCTTTAAGATTAGAGGTAGTTGAGGCGCAAAGTACAGGGCTAGTTGGGGGGAGGAAGAGAGGAGTTGGTGGATGCACAAGGTTAACCGAAGGTAGTCTCGTCGCAAGGCCCAAAAAATAAAGAGGAGGAAAAGAGGAGAGGGGGAATAACAAGGGTGGATTCTGCAACCGAGGGGGGGTGGCGTCTGAGAAGTGTGTATAAGGAGGACTCAAGGACGACTTGTGTGATATCTGAGGAGGATGTGAGGAGCAGGGGCAGAATATGTACGTGAACAGTAGAACGGAGGTTCAGAGACAAAGTGTCTAAACGAAACGGGCAGTATAGGGGAAGGATATATGACGAGAAGCGGGGAGGGTAGGTCGCCTCCTCCAAGGAGCCAGTTGACGTTTCGTAAGATGGAAGGTGAGGATGGAAAGGTGGGGTAGATAAATTCCGAGGTTTCCATCCCCAACGAAGGAGGACAGATGCCTGGGGATTCTAAGGTGAGGATAATGCCTATCCTGGACTGTCTCAAGCCCGGATCCCGAAGAGTGACATCCGAGGACAACCCGGGGAAACAGGAAGGGAGAGGATGCTGAATGGATGGAAGCAACATCAGCCGACACCACTCCTCCCTCCAGAATAGGCCCCAGGGAGTCTACCTGGGGGAGAGGATCTGTGGACCAGACGTGAATAGTGCATCTAATCTCCCGACAGGAGATGGAGAGATTAGAGAGCAGCTCCTCAGGCGAAGGTAGGAGGATAGAGCAGTCCTCCTCCCCCCGTGAGTATCACCAACTCAACCCAGGGACGTCGATAATTCAAGGAGCAGCATGAAACCGGAATCACCCCACTCAACTGCAAGGAGGCAGTAGCGGAAGAATGAAGGAGCCTCTCAGCATCTGAAGTGCAGGGAAATAAACAGGTCCAGCAGCAGGATGGCACGAGGAATAACGACGACGCAAGACGAGCCTGAGAGCCTAAGAGAAGAGAAAGGAAGAAGCCGAATGAAACATAGGACATTCCTTACGTGATATTAAAGGAGAGCTAAGAAGGAGAAACGGAAGGAAGAGATTATAACTCCTAAAAGGACCCGAAGGAGAATGGGAGGAGGAAAGAACCCGTGGCAAGTGAGCATTGACCATGAGGGAAGCCAAGAATTTACAGGACCTATAGCTAATAAAGCAGAGGATTGTGGAGGGTTTAACAGCAGGCCCTTCTGTCTGGGGAAATTTACACCTAGTTCAGGTGCAGTGGGTGGTTTCTTAGGAAAGTGGGCAGCCGGTGTCGAGAGGGAAAATCTGAGCAGAAACTGGCATAGAGTCAGTAGTGCGGACCATCCCGTGGTAAAAGAAATATTAGGAGCAACCTCTGACCAGTATGAATGGAAGCAGTTGCTCATGTGTATAGTGTCGAGAGCTTTAAGGCTGAACCATCTCGAAGCAGACACCGCCACTGGAAAGGTGGAGATTTGGCGAAGGAGAAACTGGCAGGTCGCCTTAAATAAAGGTATCAACTCCCCCTGGAACAGCCAAGCCGCCGGTCAGGGGACTTTGATAGCATTGACTTGTTTAATAAGGGCATTATTGGGGCAACACCCCCAAGGGCCAGAGCTTAGTCAAGACACCCAGAATTTATGCGAAGGTATCTGGTCATTGGTGAAAATAAACCCGCGAAGCAAGCGTCCCGGTGAAGGAAGAGAAAAGGTCAAATCCCTGGGACGATTCCTAGACGTCTTACGAGAAGGAGGTGACAAAGGAGGCATACCATATGGTAGTTTGGGGCTTCTGTTGAGTATATATTATGGGATGAATAAATGCTGTAAAAGACAAGCTCCTTTTGATTTGACAGGATTAGTTGATAATGGGAACTTGGACTTGGGGGAGATGGGGGCATGTACAATAGATCGGAACCTTCTTAGCTGTAGTGGTAATTCTTCCCGACCGGAAGACACCAGACTGATAATATGGAAGCCTGGGTCAAGGGTATTGTTCAGGAGGGCGCCCCCAGACGTAGACTCCCCCCCCAATCCCCGATTGACAACCCAAGATAGTGAAGAAGACGTGGCCCGCCTTAGAGCCGAAACTGCCAAAAGAAATGAAGAATATGTGTGAACCACAACCCAGAAAATGAACCAAGGGCACGAAGACATCAGGGCCTCAACCACAGTATACGGGAAAGATGCTAACTCCATGACGACGCATGCAGTGACCCCTCCAGAACAGGACTTAAAAACCAAGTCTTCCCGAACGGATACACCAACCACCCCTTCAGGGGAACACGGGCTCCTCCCGGAACAATCAACCAGCAGGCCAAATCAGAGCGGAGCAGAGGTGGATGCAACCATGTCAAGTAGCGAGGGGGAAGGGGCCAGAAAATCACGCCCCGGTGAAATGGGCACAGGGAACCCCCCCCGAATCGCCGGCGCAGGATTAGCCCATAAGGCCACCCTCAACCCCCCATCTGAGGAGGAGATCAGGGAGGGAGATCAAGTGTCCCATACCACTATTGAGGCAACAGGCCAACCAAGTAACCAAACAAACGTGGGAGGTCTCCTTGGGGCGGTAATAGGGGGTATATTAGCCGTGGCAAGTGTCTATGGTATATATCGTGTCTATTTTCGGCACATGCACCGCAGGTCAGGAGGGGGGATCGTTGCTCGTGGTGGTGAACTGTATATCAAGTATGAGAGCACCCAACCAGAAGCTCCCCCAAGAGAACGCAAACCTCCAATAAGATTGAAGCAAAATAGCAGGAGCCTAGGCCGCCCCCTGCAGACGGCCTTTGCCACGTCGAGTGAGCTCTGACAACCGATTGATTGATTCCGTTCAGTGGAAGACGAGAGGGCGCTCGGCCGACATCAAGAACCCGAAATGCGGAGGACGCGCAAACACATCAGGGGCGAAGGGAGGTATTCTCGGAGGTCAGGACTTGAGGCTGACCGACTACCCACCCAGGGATAGGCCGGGGGAAGTCTAATGCTGGACATGTGGGCGTCCAACATGGTCCTTGTGGCTAAAGGAGGGACCGGCTTGACATGTAGGGGTGGAGGTGGGCAATGGCTTTGAGGGAGGGGAACAGAGTTGTGGTGGGAGTACGGGTCAGGGGTCTCTCCCGAAAGTTCTGGAGTTGGGCGTCTAAGGGAGAGTCTCGTGCATTAGGGAATGGGGATTCAGGGTATAGGTTTGGGTTGGGTTTTAAGTTTGGGGTTCAGGTTTAGGTTTAGGGTTCAGGGGTAGTTTTAGGGTTCAGGGGTTAGGATTCTGGGTCCAGGCATTAGGATTCTGGAATCAGTCATTAGTCTCCATGTCTCAGTTTTGGGGGACTTATTCGTAGGTTTCGGGTTCAGTGGGTAAGGGTCATGGATTAGGTCTAGGCTTTAGGGTTCTGGTTTAGGGTCGAGGTTTTAGGTTTAAGGTTCTGTGTCCAGGTTGTCAAGGAGTATTCTTAGGGGTTATCACGATTAGGGGTCAGGGTTAGTTTTAGGGTTTAGCTTTAGGGTTCAGGGTCCAGTGTCTAGATTTCTGGTTTAGGTTTAGGGTTTTAGGTTTTAGAGTTCAGGGTTTAGGGTTGTGGCTTTAGGTTCCAGGGTTCAGGGTGCAGGGTCTTGGGGTTAGTTCTCAGGGACTAGGTTTCAGGATTTAGGGTCTAGGGGTTAGGGTTTATGGGATTAGGGTTCAGGGTTCAGGGAGCAGGTGGTATGTTTAGGGGTTATTTTTAGGTTCTTAGGGTTCAGGGAGGTAAGGCTTAGGGTCTACGTTTTAGGGTCTATCGCTCAGTGTCCTGTTAGAAGGGTTTAGTTTCTAGTTTTAGGGTCCAGGTGTTACCGTTCAATTGTCAGGGGTTAGGCTTCTGTGTTTATGGGTTAGGCCTGGGGGGATAGGATTTAGTTTGTTTTTTGATGTTCCTGTTGCTTGGGTTCAGGTCTAGGACGCAGGCGGGATTGATTATTCCTCATCTATTAGACTTGGATTTGATGGGGTACGGTTGATGTGCTAGGTCTAGGGTTTAGGTTCTAGGCTTAGGCTCGTGTGTTTGGGTATTACGGTTTAGGGATCAAGTTTACTTTTCATGGGTTATGGTTCAATTGTTAGTTGTTGGAATTCAGGTGGCTAGTTGTTTCGTTCAGGGATCAGGTGCTCAGTGTTTAGGGCTTAGGGTCTACGGGGGATATGGGAGTTTTCATGCTTGATTTTTCACGGAAGTGGTTCTAGTTTCTTTGGATCCATGTTTCAAGATTAACATTTTGGGTGTTATGTTCTAGGTGACACGGCCCAGGAGCCGGGGAGGGTTTTGCCTTTCTATACTGCTTGCATCCTTGAGGATTCGTTATTTTGGAAGACGTTGAACGTTACGTTTGGGTGTTAATGGTTAATCTTCATCTTAGCCGTTTTCGCTTCTTTCCTGTTCTGGCTTGTGATGCGGTTTTTTGGTCCTGGGTTTAGGATTCATTTGGTGGAGCTGACTGATCCCTCCTATTTTTTCCCTTGGCTAAAGTCTATTTTGGTGGATCTCGCCTCTGAAGGCGGGGGGGGAGTGTTGTTCTTCGTGTCTAATCTTTATTTCTGGGACTTCAAGCATCTAGGTGTAGGGACTATAGGCAGTGTGCCGCCTCCAGGGGGTAGAGGGTCGCCGTTATGGTTCTAGATCTCATAGACCTTTCGTTAAGGGGCTGTTGTGTCCTTTTATTGACTATTTCTCGCTTTTTATTGGTCATTTGTCTTGAGTTGGAGCCTTGGGGCTTATCTGTTGTCGGTGTGACATGAGTTTGGGTGGAGTGAGGGGGTAGGAGATGGGATTGGGCGACATTTTTTTGAGTTTGTTTTCATTTTCTATTTGTCCGCTTCAGGTGGATGTTCCTTCTGGTTGTTGTGTATCGATCAGGGACCTGCCTTTCGTGTGGTAGCCGTTATCTCGTGGTTACTTTTTAGGTTGTATCTCCTAGTGATCTGGTTAAAGGCTCTACTCTCTAGGGATGACTTTTTCGCATTTAGTGTTTAGTGATCAGGTTTCAGGTTGGAGTCTCTTGCTGTTAGAGCCTAGGGACTGGGTGTCTGGCTTTATTCTTTCAGAGTTGTTCTTGGTGATGAGAGTCCAGAGGCCGCTTCGCTTTCTTGCTACTGGGGAGGGTTTAAGCCTTCTGAGGAGCAGTTTAGATTTGGCCCTTTATTATTTACTTTTCAGGGCTTAGTTGTAGGATCTATTCTGTAGTTTCTAGGCTCATTTTCCTCTATTGCTTCTCCCCTGTCGCAAATTTACTCTCCCTCCCTTAATATTTACGCGTCACCATTTAGGATACACCTGGTAAGCCTTAGTGTTCATACTTCGCTTCTTAGGCTCCGTCTCGTGGGTCTTTCTCTTCTGTTTTCGCCTCCTATTAGTCTTTGTCATAATTGCTTGGCTTAAGGCTTCGGTGCTCACTCGGTTGTCTTACTTGTAGTCTCGGTTCCGTAGGCTTGCTTTATCTGCCTTAAGGCCCTAAGGTGGTTGTTCTTGTGGATCTATAACCTGCTTGGAGTAGTGTTTCTTAGCTTCCTCATTTGACTCACTCTCTTGGGTAGGGGATATATGTAACCCCTCTTATTTCTCAGTTTCTAGCCGTCAGATCCTATTCTTTAGTGGTCAGGGTTCCGCTTCATATTTAGCCTTCCTTAGGTCATTTTTTTTTACCTCTCATGCAAGACGGACCCTTGTGGGCGTTTTTTAATTGTAGTATTGCCGAGATATTCTCCCTGGCCCTCATCTGTAATTTTCCTGTTTCAATGGCTACTCCTCCGTCTTTACTTGTTGAATGTGATCCTGACGACTGAATTGATTCTGGCTAATGCCTGTGGGGGTGGCCCTGACAGATTTCATCATGTCTTTCCTTTCTGTACGCCTTAGGATTAGCGGCCGGTTGTGGGTTTCTTATTGGGTCGTGATGAATCTTTAGGGAGTGATGATAACCGATCTTACGTATCAAAATGAATTGGCCTTTATAATTCCTTGATCTTAGCTTCTACTAAAAAATAACTATTAATACACTAAGTGAGGAAGCCTGTATATCTACATATGTATGCATTTCTGGAGGAATTAAAAATAATTTCTCTATTCTCTAATGAGATTACAGCTACAGATTCCCAATAAGCCACATAATATCTGTAATATCTTAAAAAAACAAAACAAAATAAAAGGAGCACATAAGCTAATTCGAATTGGTCAATAGGAGCTGTTGAAATAATCATGGAGGATTGTTGGCATCACTGGAAGACAATTATATATACGTCCTTCCCGTGAAGGGGGTTGTATCATGTACTGAATCCTACTTGACTTTTCCTTTATCATGTTTCCGATTGGATTTTGATCTGGAGCTGCTCTTGTATTTAACATGACTATTATTGGAATGCCTTCGTGCTATTAAGACAGGGTCACTTCTAATCAAATATTATCTACAAATATAATAATATTTCTTCTGTAGTCATCGATTTAGTGGTCCCCTTCTCCCCCTTGATTTGAGTATGGCCTGTTTAAGAAATTAAACCCATCTTTCTCTATCACTCGGGTTCATTTGATAATGTATACATAATGGGAAAAGGAATAGGCATCAAGATTATTTCATATATACAGGAAGGTTAAAGTTCTTTCTGGGTAAAGAGGGTAAAAACGCATGTGTGGTGCAGAGAAATGAATAATGCAATTTTTCTGTCTCTATCTATTTCGCCCTTAGACCCTTATAGATATTATATATATTTATATATATACGGAGCTTCCATTTTCGTCATGGCTTGTTGCGGGAGAGGAAGTCATCTTTTTCATGGGTTGCGCTTAGAATATTATGATCACATGGCTTAATGATGAACCCCCCCCCCAATGATGTCTCCGATATTTTGGTTTATTTTTTCTGCTTAGATTGGTCAGTTACTGAATTAACCTATTAAATCCTCCATATAAGATAAAGGCGAGATGTGTGATATCACGAAACTTTTATTCACATCATAATATTAAGTGTCCCCCACAGAACAAATCCAGGGTCGAAAGAGAAATAATTCGTTCAGATAAAAAGACACTATGACTTGATATGTTCGATCTCAGCTGTCCTGTAGACGAAAGAAAAAAACAGATACGGCTTAGATATGCGCCATTAACAGATAAATAGCTATTCACTGCAGTAATTAATGTATCATTAAGGAAGACACAGGAGGAACAAGTTTTTGGTGGTCAAAATTTCTTCATACAATGAAGTGGCAGTGAATGATGCGCCTGAAGGGATTATAGAGTGAGAAGTACAGTTGAATACACGATGTGCATAGTGGCACATTGTTATTGCGGTATCTGACATTGCACTCCGGAATAGTTAGAAACAACTATCCGCAAATTGTTCGCTTCCTATGTTCTATTATCCTTTGGCGCGCTCTACTCTGAGATAGGATCTTCTTTTTGGCTTAGAGATTTTCCTCTGCTGTCTGTTTCAACCTAAGTTGAGGACCGGTCTCATAAAGTAGTCACCTAATTCCATTTCATCAAACCCAGATAACACGCCATGATCAGATTCAGAATGGGTGGAACTTACAT